ATGATATGCCTGTAATCTCTATAGTGTGAAGACTTTGTTGTACATAGGTTTAACTTGTTCCAAATATACACACACACACACACACATATATATATATATATATATATTATTTGAAAACAAGTAAAGTGTGTGCTGTTTATTCATCGTTGAATTTATTGCTAACAAGTCAGACACCTACTGTAGAAGAATCCTACGCCCAACAACAACATAGTATATATTTATACTATTAAGAAATATAAGTAAAAGCCATTTATTTTGACAACTGGCAAAAAGAAAAACTTGTATATATATATAATTTTTAAATTCTGACAGCTCAAATCAGGTATTTAGAATTTCCAAAATGGGGACATCTCTTGCACTTAGTAGTACTGTAAAGCTAAGGAATATGGATCAATTGGGGAAACCAGGAATATCCAGAAAGAGATCTACAATGAGCTATACCCCAGTCATGATAAGCAAAGTAAGGTGTATTCTAATAGATGAGAATCCCTGAATTCAATGGTCAAGAGAAAAAGTCATCCACATGTTCCATACTACAACACAACATAATCAAGAAGGATTTCCAGTCTGGAAAAATGGCATTAGTAACTTGAACACAAGTTGTTCCCATGACATGTCCATTCAGCTATTAAAGACTCAAGCGGCTGGAGAAACAGGTATTCTTCCTATTCCATATTAAGACATGCCAGTCAAGTCACCTGTGGATTTCTGTGTGATTGGATTGTTGAAATGGTTACTGAGAAATCATCATCCCTGTAATCTATATGGCTTATGGAAAGTTGTATGGAGGAATGGTGTGATTTGGACATGACACTATTACCACAGGAACCTTTTTTAATGGAAAATATGCTGCAGGGCTATTGTCAAGATGCTTAATCTTCAGATAGAGCTTGCCTGGACATGGCGACATAGGCTGTAATGATGTAGTGAGGCTCTGAAATTGTATAAATATAAGGTATATTACATCTATATTAGATATGTAAATTTTTGAATGTCAAATATCCTAACATGCTTAAAAGATAACATAATGCATTTGCAGTGAAAGGTTGAGTAAATGATTTTGATTTTGACAGCTCTGTCATCCACCCGTGCTCGTCATGTCAGTCAGCCAGACTCCACATTTCCAACTTTGTTTGACTATGATGAATATGATGATCAAGTTTTTAAGCTACCATCTTATTCTCAAAATGCAAGGTATTGAAATTGTAACTGTATTTCCAAAAGTTTATAATAAAATATGAATCAAATTTTTATGTAAATTTATAACAGTGTTGGTTTCGAAAGCAATTCTGTTTTAAATAAAACTAAAATATGAAGTTTAAGATTTTAAGTGTTTCGTTTTTTTCCTAGACAATTAACTTAATGCATGAAAAAGCATTTTGTGATTATTTAAAGCAGATGTGTGTGTGTTATGGTACATTTAAGTTTAAAAAGCACTCTAAGTGAGAAGCAAAACAAATCTAAGGTTTAGTTTTGAACAAAGTTAAGACATATTTTCATAACTTGCATTCAGTGCTACAAATTGTCACCAACCAAAAAAAAAAACTCATATATATATATATATGTTATTCTTAAATGTGTAATTTATAGTTGCAGTTTTTTCTTGTTCCTTTTAATTTATGGTATCATTGTGCGTGTACAAAATGAACTTTAATAACACTTGCACATTTGTTCAAGAGGCTGTGTCTTAAGATTATAAGAGACAAAGCTTAATAGGAATGAAATGGCCACTCTGTATTAGTGCATCGGAAATATTGAGAAAACTTCTATTTTTGCGCTGGGTTCCTTTCTATCTCATTCTACAGATGAACTTGATCATTGTCATTCAGAGGCTGTATTATTAGGATTGGTGAATTTTCTCTGCTTTTCCTTTTCAGTTTGTTTATTTCTGTTTTGTTGTTGTTTTTATTATACATAAAATTTAATACTTGAGAAGTCTTTTACTGATGGTTTTGTTACTCAGTATGAATAAACTGCAAAAATGGAGTTGCTCTTTGCTAGTTTGCTCTACTTGTCATCCCTACTGTTAATTCCCAGTAAATCAAGATGCAAATACGGCCACTTTACCTTTTTTAATGCACTTTACCCTGTTAAAAATGATTGATAGGTGCTTTGCTGTTGATTTTGTTGTCAGTTTTGATATGTTTTGACTTTAATATAATTTTATTTATTTATTTTCTGCAAAGATTTATTTTGTTATGATGAATATTATAGGAATGATAATTTGGTATTTTTTCATTTCCTTTTGACTAGGTGTATTTCCTGTTATTAATATTTTTTTTTCATTTTTCCATTAATATTTTCTTTTGGCATTCTTGTCTCCATGATATTATTTTGTTTAAAATTTTACATTGTGGTTTTAATTGTTGAAGTTTTATTACCTTCTATGAGTCATCTCCTCCTAAAAATAGTTTTTTATCCTTTTCTGGATAAATAAGGTCAACAAAAGGGCATTGAGGTGCTTTGTGAAATATCAAATTAATAATAAGATTAGGTGATAGTTTCATGCTGATTATCTTACTCAGTTACTAAAGATACCTAACTCATGTAAGAAAGTGATTTATAGTGGTTATTACATGCTTTTTAGTAAGATGTATATAGCTTTAAACAAAACTATAAATAAAACAAGTTGATGAATATTTTAAAAGTGATCATTTTGTTGTCAAGGAAACACATTTATTTGCCTTTCAAATATATTTAAAATGTACTGCATGAACTCTTTATAATAAATTGAATAGAACTAATAAAAGGATTTGGCAATTTTAGAGGAAGCATGATAATCACAAAGACTAATATTTACTATAAAAAGAAAAATTGCATCTAATGTTAAACCTGTAGTTATTTTTTCACTTCTTGTTGATACATAGTATTGTTTCATAGTATTGCTTTATTATAATAGCACTGTTTTACAAAATACTTGTTTGTATCTTTTGAAAAAAGTTGTAGCTTGGTCTGACAGGGACTAATCTCGTATAAACCAGCAGTATATCATTAGTTATACAACTCAGATAAAAATGCGCACATATTGACGTTTATTTATATAGATATATAGAATGTTAAGTTTTGATTTTTTTATATTTATTGTATTAACTAGAAAATTATTCAAAATATAAACTGTTAGATATCATTGGTCATCACAATCCTTTTGTTCAAAAGTATTATTAATTTTTGTCTTTCTTTTGTTACTTTAAGATTATTTCGTTTTTTTCCAGTAGGGTTACACACAGTCTACAGAGGGTTCCTGGAAAGAAAAAAGGGAACCGTTCAGTAAAGAACCCTTCTTCAAGACTTGGTAGTGAGGAACCAACATCTTGTTTTCTCAGTTCTGAACCACCACCAACCACTTCTTTGTTCTCATCATCTGCCATTTTAATTCCTACACTTGACTCTTCAAGTCTGTCTTCTTCGTATGGAGCCCAAAATGCAGATGGTAAGTACCTTGATGTTTTAAATGTTATTTAAAATTTTAAATTCATTTTTTAAGAACTTAAAAACAAATTAAAATTATTATCAGCTGTGGCATTAAGATGACACCAAGTTGATCAGTCATCTGTTATCATAATGACTATATTTCTCATTTAGAAAAAAAAAAAAGGTTTCAAGCAGATTTTAATCATCTTTGAGTATAGAAAAATAGAAATCCTTTTAAAAGAAAGGCAATGACAAATTACTTTTGCAAAATTCTGATGAGTTAGTAAAGTTAGCAATGGAACCAGTAGGCTTAATATTTTTGATAAAAATTAATATAAACTGAAGATGTTCTTTTGTGATGCAGAAGGAGAGGCATTTTATTAAACTATGCAAAAATGAACTTAAGAATAGAGAAGTACAGACAGCATCACCATATGTCTAAGGGAAGGGTAATTGTAGATAGTACTATGCATTGCAAAGAGAAAATTATTTGGAAAATGGACCTGTCATCTTTCAGAGCACCATCTCAAACAGAAGTGTTTATGTGTAAATTTCTTCATTATTTTTATAGACACTTAAGAGTACCAATATTGTCACACTGTTGAGTTTTAATACTTGCCCCCATTACATATTATATGATCTGATATCCCTTATTGATAAGTTGATTAGTTTCATTTTTTTATCAGACCATTTAGTTCAAAATGTCTTTTGTTCTGGTGGTGTTTGTTGAGTTTTTACATATTGTTGAATAGGTTTAACCTTGCAATCATTGAGATGCCTCACACAGCTATCAGATTCATTCAGAATGTTACATACCTAACCTCATACAGGGTAACTAGACAGGTGACTTAACTGTTTTAATTACTTTAAATACACAGCACTGCATTTACATCTTATAAATTTTGTGCATTTAAATAAAAAAATACCAAAACCATAAAAAAGTCTCGTACATGAAGCATGAGTTTTCGTTAAAAGAAATGTGTAATAATCATATACTTATTTGTCTAGTAACTTTTTCTGCAAACTTTCATAATATATTTGTGTGTTATAAAATGTACACCACCAAATTTCTGAAACAGGGAGTTTTATTATTATTTAAAACATTTTGGACTTAATAACATGTCACGTGGTATGTTGAATGCAGCTTTGGTTCAAGTTAAATGTTTGAAATGTCCTAATACAAAGCATATAGTTTCTTGCAAATTACAAGCTCAAATTATGGATATTGAAAAGCTATAAAATAAAATAAGTACCTGCTATATTTTCTGTTTGCTGAGATATCACTATATTTAGTGAATCAAACACAGTGGCCTTGCCCACCTCTTCTCCTTTTGGAACTACTTGCTTGTGTACATCTATTTCACTCTATAACGTGTTTATAATGAATCAGATGCTCAGAATGCCCCCAACTTAGTTTTCTCAGCCTTTTGTGAAGTGTTTAAATGGGAAACCTTCCTTTTCATGGTAGAAATGAAGTGGTGAGGTAAAAAATAATGAAGCTCGAAATATCATATTTTTTAGATCCAAATACACCTTAGTTACTAAACTTGATAAATTATAGTGGAATTCTGTGGTACTGATATAGTAATTTATGATTTTTTTTTATTTCAAAATGCATATATAAAGTTATTTTCTTTTACATCCTTCATGTGCAAAATTTGACAAGGCTTAGCAAATTATGGCGAGCACAAATTCATAAATAAAAGAGATCACTGTTTTCTGTATTTCTTTATTTACTGTTCTATGTTTTAAGAAAAATAACTGAAATATAAGAACTTGTTTGTAAATAGTAATAATATATATACATATGTAACATATTATAACCAAGATGTGACCGTATTTTACAAAATACTGGTTCACCAGAACAAAGCAAGACAGGACAGTTTGTAAAGGCCAGTTTTATGCTATTGGATACTGTAACATGAGTGCACGTGCACTACATCATTGCAACTTCTGTAATGTTAGTCAGACACAGCTGAATGGTCAATAAAATAAAAATAATAAATATATATATAGATGTATAATGTTATGAGATTTAAGCTATTGAGACTAAACATTTGTGGTTTTGTGTTATAATTTGTAGTCATTCTAGAATGAAAAAAGCATAAATTATATCTATTTTGTAATTTTTATAGTGGTTACGAGGTCGATCAAAATTGACTAAACCCAAACAGAGGTACAGTAATGAAAATAACATACAATATATATAAAGTTTTTTCTAAAAAAGTTTGATAATTATTTGGAGGCTATTAGGAAGTTATAGAGATTTTACATGTGACATTTGACAATCTTCTGATGCAAAAAAGTATTTTTAAAGCCATTTAGTAACATAGAGACATGAAAGACTCTATTATGTCTCTGATCATCTGCTGGGCATCTCTATTTCGAATGTTAAGAATGTAGCTGCATATCGGTTGGGCACATCTTGTGAAGGAAGTCCAGTACATAGGAATTCACAACAATTTCGAAAGGGAATGTTGCTTGCTTACATGAACATATAAGTGATCAAGGTTCTCTTCTGGTTAAATAACATTTTGTGTATTAATCTAGTAATGTCATTACTTCTGGTACTTGGCAACTTGCAAGTGGTTATAAGAGATGAGGTTCTTCGAGTAGAAAGTGAAGACTTGTACTATCAATTTTCGTCATCGTCAAATTCAGTATACATTTTTTTTTTTTTGGTGTGACTGAATTGTTTCTGCAGTAACAGGAAACAAAGAAATGAGAGCAAAATCAACAGATATTGTCTTTTGCTTGATGATTCTCTTATTTCTCTTCTTCACTGTCGTGTGGCACACATGTGGGAAGTTTAATGTTTTGATTATTTAATCTGTGTGCCACGAATTCAGTTGAACAGTTTTGCATTTCTCTGTATAACTATTTTGCCGTCTTGATGGTGAATAAAAAATGTTTTTAGCTTTCCTCAACTGGTCCTGGCTCGTTTGTTTTTTTGTAAGGTTAAGATCAGAAATACTTACTCTCAATATAACCCAGAACCACTGAAAGTAACACTAACTTCTTAAGATTTGAAAAAACATGCACTCCTTCTTTCTGTTGAACATAATTAGATATATACACAACAGAATTATTTTGTCTGGATGTTTTACAACTGATAGCAACAGCACTGCAGCATTATTGTAGAATATTCTAAATAATAAGCACACAATTCTGAAGAAATTCAACCAATCAAAGCTATAGTTAAACTTCAGAATTTTCTCAATGCATGTGGAATAAGAGAACTTTCAAGAGTAACAAGAACGATTACGCTGAAAAAAATTCTTTATTCTTACGTTCATTATGACTTATCTGTTTCAGAGCTTAAAGTTTAAAACAAAAATTCTGGGTTTTTTGTAATTTTACTACTGTTTATATTCAAAAGAATAATTCAAACCATGTTTTTTTTCACATTATCAAGTAATAATATAGTGTATTGGCATCGTTTGGCCTTCATATCTAACAGGACTAGGCTATAAGAGAAAAGTGGTTCGGTAAGCCATTGTTTATAAGTTAGGCCTAAAATACTTTATAAAGTGATTAAATTTTCTCTTGTGTATTGTTTTCATAGGTTTTTCATTAAATTGAAAATTGGGAGGAAACCAAAAGCTTTTGATATTTTATGAACCTTGTATGTTTGATAATATCACTATGCTATAATATTTTCAACTGTAGAAAGATTAAAGTCAACCATTGTTAAAATGTTATAAGATATACTCAGACTTGACTGGCATGTTCTTTTTTAGCCATTCAACAGCATTCAGTGTGTTTTAAACAACAGTTGCTCTGTACATGAGTTCTGAACAATTTTATTTTCATGCAGTGTCTGAGTGTAATTCTGTCATGGTAACTTCTATAGATTTTCTGTATTTTATTTACTGATTTTGTGTAATGGATGATGATCTATTTTTGATGTGATGGGATTATACTAAAAAAAAATTTGTTTTTCATTTGGTCCATGTAAGCTTCAGTTTTCATAACTATAAGTAATATTATTGGCATATGGTCATCATCTACTGATATATTAACCAAAAAGTCCTAACACTGTAGCAAAAACTGTTCAGACTGCTATTTTATAATTACATTTAGTTGGTAGCAATTTGTTCAGACTCAACGCTGTAGCAGCTATGTAGAAACTAAACAATACTTGGTAGTTATACGTTAGTGTTGAACATACCCACTGATCGGTAAAGTGGTCAGTAGCTGACCACTGTTGCATCTTGACTACCCAACATACATCAACTTTTGTCAAAGGTCTTGTGAAACATCATTGTTTTGGAAAATGCTTGTTTAACAATTTTAAAAAAAGTTCCTCAATCATAGTAATTGTATAAAATAAAGTCTGCTCTTGTACGTGTAAGATAATGTCTGTTTACAGTATTTTATGTTTTAAATTTCATGTCTCAAAAATGTATTTGATAGAGAAAATTTGTAGAATAATTTGTTGTAAAAATTTGGTAAAATCCATTGTTTTTTTTTCTTGCTTCACCTTGTTTTATTTTTATGTAAGATATGGCATTGAAAAAGTAAAGAATTTTATATCCTTAGACAACTTGAAATTAATAGAATTATTATGTTGAAACATTTCAAAAATTTTACATGTTTAACATACATTCAATGTTGAAAACAATTATACAGGAATTTATACTAACAAACTTATTAACTGTTCTAAATGTGCTTAAACTTCTGTTAGGTCCATGTCTTACTGTCATGATATCATGAGCTTGTTGCACTGTCCTTTAGTAAGCCCAGTTGCTATAATTGAAACATGAATAAACAGTTTTATTAACGTAACACCTTATGCTTTTAGAAAGTGTTCTGGACAATGTTTTAATTGAGTGAATTTTCTCATATGTAATATTAACTAATTATTAACCCAGTATTCTAAGAGACTTTATTTTACAGAACAATATTCCAGATTGTTTTAATAACTGCTGTATTCTGTATTTTAAGTGTTGGATGTAATTCAAAATTCCTAAAACGGTTTTCTTTTCTTATATTTAGAAGCTGTAGAAAAGCTCCATTAGTTCAATGTGATTACTGCCCGTTACACTTTCACCTGGACTGTCTGGACCCTCCATTGACTACTGCACCTTCAGGCAGATGGATGTGTCCAAATCATGCTGAACATATGCTGGTGAGTGTCTTTTCAAATAATAATACACATTAAATTGAGCGAGTATGTAAGTGTAACATGATAATTTTTGAACACAGTTTTGCTCTGATTATCATTAAAATTCCCTAGTTTTTGGACATAAAATATCAGATTTTTTAAGTAATGATTTGCTCTTGTTTTTTCTTTTCGAATGTTGACTATCCAACATGCAAAGTAATTTTGATTTTAAGAGGGAAAAAGTAAAATATTTTA